GCTGCAAGTCCATGAGATCCACGATTAGCCTCATTGCGCTTATCCGGCGCATTGTCCGCGTGGAGAGAGCGAGCTGTCCTGTCGATGTCGACCTCCCTGCCTCTCAATGCTTTGAGAATGGATGTCAATAAGACTGCCTCGGCTATCGTCTGAGCCATAACTGGTGTGCTGTAGCGGCCATTTGATAGTGCTCGTAATGCGTGATCTTCTGCTCCTCCTCGAAGAAGTCGTGTCAGTGGAAGATCCAGGATAGCTGTTCCTGCGAGCCCGACTCTTCTGGACCACTGAGTAGGCTGAACGTGACGGTACAGCTGCAGACCACGGACCTCCGTCTTGTCGAGGAAGATGTCGTCAGATTGGAAGGTGCTGGGGAGTAGCTGCGAGTATCGAGGCTGAGTGTATTGCGTTGCATCGCCTTGGCCTAGAGGTGCCCGAACTGGAGGTTGAACTGGCGGTGCTGGTGGTGGAGGACGAGGACCTGTCTGCATGTGGTTGGTTCCACCACCGTGATAGTTGTAAAACTGACCGGGAGGTTGAGGAGGGAACTGGTGAGCCATCTGTGGGGGCCGAGGGGGATTGACTCGAGACGTTGCTTCCTCTCGAAGTTGATGTTGCACGGGTTCCATCCGATTGGAGCTCAGATATACCTCCTGCTGGGACTGTGGAACTGACCATGACGGAAGATACGAGGATCCCGGATGCGAAGAGGAGGAGGGCGCCGATGCCGCCGGCCATGAATAGTTCCACTGAGAAGCCATCACGAGATGGGAGTTTGCCGTCAACACTGCTAATGGGTTAAAAGCTAGGGGTACGCCACACATTGCCGAGACAACATACATTGCCAAAACGACACCCGAATTTCAACCGGGCTCGGGGCAGTTTGAAACCGGGAAACTGCATTAGTCACACGAAGCATCAAAAAGGAAAAACCCGCAGCAAGGTCAGCACATACTTGAATGAGGCTCTGGCGTGGACTTTTTGTCGCAAAATATCGTCGGTAGTCGAAGACGGCAGTGTGGCGAAGTATGCTCTTATTCGCAATGAAACATCATTAATTGTCATTGGTTACAGCAGCTCCTGGTGCAGGTTCACGAGCGGAGGACACCAGTGGGTGGCTTTGTATCGGTAGGCCATGCGAGTCCAACGATCTGACTTGCCTCCGGGATCACCATTCAACACTTGCCCGACACATAGTGGATGACATCAGGACGTTCACTGGAGTCCAGGGCCTCAATGCAAGCTTGCTCTCCTCCCGATCGAATCGGCTGACAGGTGCCAACAGCGCGTCCAAACAACAGCAATTGGGCCATGTTAAAAGACATGCTCCAGTTCTGGCTCATCGTGCGAGCGATTTCTTCAGCGTCGTAGTCGGCGTGTCCAGTGATCTTCCAGCCCTGGGCGTAAAAGGCTGGGCACTCCGAGGAGTGCTGCCGGGAAGGATGGATCTGTCGGCTCCGCAGGATGCCTCGAGTACCGCCGACACTGGAAGCGTGAGTCCAGAGCAGCATGGGTCGCGTCTTCGTCGGTTCTTTGAGCCGAACTGTGGCCCCAAGGTAAGGGACGGTCAGCATGAACCAGTGCGGGGTGATCTTATAAAAGTGATGTTCCGGGTTGACCTTCGCATAGTTCAGAGTGGAGTGCTGAGACGGTATGCCAGCTGCATTCAAGGTAGCGGCCACATAGTCCATCTGCTCCTGATTGACTGGGATCCCATCACGGAGATATGGTGCGGCCAGCACCTGAAGTTCGTTCCTCCAAGGATCAGACTCCGGGTTGGGAAGCAGGATCAGCGGTGGATGTGCCTGCGGATTTGGGCGTAGTTCTCCCGAAGGGACTCAACATCGGACAACTCCATCGCGGCAGCATCGGATATTGCCGCGTCGGCGCCCACAGCAGCCAAGTCCTCATCCCGGGCGCCTACGGCAACTAAAGCCTCATCCCGATGACCGAGAAGCAATCGATCTCCACTTCCGCGTAGCAGAAGCAGTGCCCCATCGGCTCCAGCCTCCAAGGCCACAGGTGCTCACCCAGATGTGGGGTCGTCCTCGAGATCGGTGGTGGCGTCCGGGAGCGAGCTTGACCTCGCCGCTGTGGGGGCACTGACTTGGAGTAGGGGGAAGCGTTGTGGGAACGTGACCGGTCTCCCTCCGTTGTGTGGCGTGACCTGGATGGTGGGTTGGGCGGTGGAAGCATCTGACCTGATGGGGTTGCCGTAGGGATCGGTGCGATAGGGGTCGGTGCTGTGGTCATAGGTGGGCATGCTGTAGTTGAAACTGTCGGGGTAGTTGGCGTCATTGGAGTCATTGGAGTCATCGGTGTGGCCGGGCGTGCTTTCACCAGGATTTGCGGCAGGGGGCCAGCTACTGATGCAGGCCAGACCTGCAAGGTAGGGATCGATGCCGAGGCGTCGCCGGGAGCAGGAGCCGGAACTGCAGGTTTGGTAGCCCTTGAGGTGCTGGACACCGCGCAAGATATGCTAGAAGCTGGTGTCACAAGCGTACTCCTGCTCGGTGATGCTGACTGGTGCACTGGAGACCTGGGCGGCGTAGGGCCGGCAGTGTTCCTGGATGGCTTGGTCATGGGGCCTGCCGAGTTCGACATCGGACCTGCGTGGGGGCGAGACATCTATTGCCAACAATTGCGAGCCAAGAGCAAGCTGACGGCGTCGTGATTTCTCACCTGATGTGTCGGGTAGTCTGGTTGATTGTCAAACAGTTGGTCCGACAGAAAAGGTTCACGGAAACAGTCTGGGGTGCCAGAAGGTCTGGGAGAAGTCCAAGCCTGTATTGAGAAGATCAGCTGGAACAGTCAAGCGTCACGAGCGACAAGGTCCGGTAACTGTCTGTAGAAAATGTCAGCGCATGAGTCGGAACAGATGCCCACAACAGGGATCAAGACACTGACCGAAGCCCGGACGCAGTGCCTAAACACACTTGATATGAGACGGCAAAACTGACAATGTGCACCCCCGAGCAACTGGAAGGTGAGAAGTGGAGAATGGAGTTTCGGCTCCGAGCAAGTCAGGACATTGTTCGTCAAGCAAGCTTCCTCTTCAGGGACGCCATCACCTGCTTGACTACTACACGCCTGATCATGCCGGGAGGTGGCGTCCGACTCCAAACTCAAAAGGACAGCGGAAACCCCTTAGAAACAGGGGGGCCACACACACACACGCACGCACGCACCCGCACCCGCACCCGCACCCGCACCCGCACCCGCACCCGCGCCCGCACCCGCACCCGCACCCGCACCCGCACCCGCACCCGCACCCGCACCCGCACCCGCACCCGCACCCGCACCCGCACCCGCACCCGCACCCGCACCCGCACCCGCACCCGCACCCGCACCCGCACCCGCACCCGCACCCGCACCCGCAC